TTACTGTAAATCTAAAAGGTCCCAATACAATATCCTATTTAGAATCTCTTTAAAGGATATTTTCATAAAGGGAATCAGAAGGGATGAAAATGAAAAGTGCATTATGAATAAATCATTTAAAATATTATTTTCATTCTAATCTGTGTTAGTTTTTCTTTCGTTTAATGAAATATCGCCTTCTTTAATACAAGCAGCCATTTTGTTTTGAGAAATTAAAGTATTTTTAAATGTCCTGAATTTGACATTCATATAATTCTATTACAGGTTGAAATTCTTCAAGTTGCCCAATCATTAGTATCTACTACAGAAGTACCATCTGAGGTAAGAAGTGTCCAGTTGGTTTTTTGCTTCCAATTAATTCATGGTGAAATTTAGAATTTGTTAGGGTTTATGTTTGGTCAAGAAGTGAGTGAAATAATGTTGAAATATGACCACATCTGACCAAATAACCCCTGCAATCAAACTTTCTTTGTTGCAAAAATCAAAATATTGATGACACAGTGTCAGTAATATTATAACTTCTCTCTAAGTTTCCTTTCAATTACTTCTGGTGTGTTATTCTTTAATTAAAAATGGCTACAGCCTGTCTCTATCTAATGTTGGAGTTGGACAATATTTTTACTTCATTAAGTGTTGAAAGAAAATGAAGATTAAAGAAATATTGAGTGGGTATTGGTTGAGGATTTATCTGACATCAATCTTGGGGGGAAAGGAGGGTTTGATTCTTCTAAACATACATCAATCTCGGGGGGGAAAGGAGGGTTTGATTCTTCTAAACATACATCAATCTCGGGGGGGGGAAAAGAGGGTTTGATTCTTATAAACATACAGGCTCATGCTTATACCCGTATTTAATTAGAGAATTGTCTGAAGAACTATCTGATGTCTTATGGACTGGATTGTCTTCTTTTGTTTAGTTATGATAGCAATAGCACTAATTTTGATAATTATTAAGTATTTTATGATGTCATGATTGCCTGTAAAAATAATTAGCAGCTTTTGGGAAAATGCTTAGTTTTGATGAAATTGCATGAAACACAGATGTCTGATTGAGAATTGGAGTGGTGTAAATTCACGTTATCATTGTCTTTTATACACATATAATCCCTTTAATAAGACATATATGATCTAAAATTAGAATTATGTAAATCAATGCTATCAGTCTTCCTGATACACATAAATAGTATAGAAAAACACATTACCATCCCTTTAATTGGTAGTAGAAATATTAAGAAGACCAACTCAAGTATGGCGGAAAATTATGAACAATTATGCTATTATTATAGTTTCTGATATATAGATAGTTTGAAATATGAGGAAAATTTCATGAAAACTGTAATTCAGAAATAAGAAGGAACTCCTGATTCAGAGATGTAATCAATATTAAATTGTATGCACCATGTTTGATCAGTATAATCAAAAAGGCCAATACGCAATTATTTCCTTTCAAACGAGTTGGAAACGAGATCCCTGGCCAATTTCTGCCATTGTTACTTGGGAGAAAGAACGACACAATAAATTGGCTATAGCCATTCTGGTTTGTTTACTGAAGTTTGAGAACATGAAAAAGGTTTAATGGAGAATTGAATAGTTGTCGAGTCGACACCATTCAATTTCTATTGATCGTTAAAATAAGTGATTTATACACAGATTTTTAATGCCAATGATTATCTCGATTATGGCTTAGTCGTGTTTTACTGAAATTTCTCTTTAGATTACACTTAATTTCACTCGTTCTGTTGATCAAATGTTGGGTTAGGTTGCCTCTGGGGATACTCTAGAGACAGTACAGTTCATTAGATGGTTAAGTACATTGTCTCAACTATGAATTCTATACTCTGAATTGATCCAATTGATTTCTTATATCTTTAAGTCAAATTTTAGAAAGAAAAAGAATGAAACAAGTATTTTTTACAAGGATAACAACTAAGGTTCTCAAATTAAGTCTTGTAAAGATTTCAACACTCTATTCAACTATGCCACAGCCCACTCTGTTCTTCTTATTTCTACTGGCCAGATAACTAATTTGGAACTGATCTGTAAAATAGACTGTGACATCTTTCGTTAGTTTGATTTCTCTGATTTGTTACTCTGGCTAACGAAATGAAAAATAACACTTCTATTTTAAAGTAGGTCAGGAAAGTTGTGCACTCAAATTGATAAAATCCAAAATCTAGAGAAATGTGCCCCAACATTATCTGAAAGTTTTAACTCAACAAATTATAGTGCCATTAATATAAGCATTATAAGATGTCACTATTGTAAGAATCAAAGACGTCTGATTGAAAATTGGAATAATGCAAATCAATGTTATAAGTATGCCTGTATTCCCTGTTTAGAAAACCTCTGTACAATCCCTTTAACTGTAATCTTAGAAAATAAGGTTTCTCTTGTGGCAGTAATCTTCTTTGCGGTATTTAGAAATCTCAAGTGGAGTTGAGTAGAGTTTAGTATTATCCACCAAACATCAAAGACATCTTGGTTTGTGGCCATTGATTTCTGTGTATTGATTTCTTTTGTTGATGGAGCACTTAACTCTTCAATACCCATGTTTCCTGCTGCCATATTGTACTACAAGAAAAAAACTAATAGTAGTTGGAATCAATTTCTGTTTTAAGGAATGAAAATCAATCTTCAAACGCCCACAATCTGATGTATCTCTGTCTGTTCACATTTGTGACTATTCTTGAAAGAATTTGGTTTTGTATTAATTAACATAAATTAAAGCTCATGTTTATGTTAAGTTTTCAATTCCGCAATATTGTTCTGTCCAAATGATGTAAAATATGTGAGGAAATGTTCCATAGAAAATTATCAACAACAAACTATCCTGTGACAAGTATCATTATAAGGACATGATGTATGATTTAGCATTTCTATAAAAAGCCTGTTAAGCTACTGAGGGAAAATGATGTTCTCCAATTAACTCCTAGTTTTGGAATTTTTCTTTGCATTTTTTTTATTCTGCAAATGTTTGTGTTTTTCAGTTGACGAAAACATCATTATTGAAGGCTTTAGAAGTCTTACAGTCCCTTTATGAAGAAACAGAGTCATTATCAACCAACCTTAAAACTGGTTTTCCTGATTTGTTAACTCTTGCTGTCCGGGCTGTTTCTAACATCATGCAAGCTGTATTACAATCTCCATTAACTCCGAACAACAGAGGTTTAAAGATGGTCACAAGTGAAGCTTTAAGAGTTGTGGATAGCTTAGTTAAAGTATGACAGATATCAAGTTAATTTTCATCTTGCATGTAATTGCCCATCAAGTAACAATAAAAACATACTTTTAATATATTTTTATTTTAAGACAAAATAAACATCATATTTTACAAAGATAAAAACTGTACAAATTTATAGCCCAGTCAACTGTAATAAGAAGGAAAGATGAGTTAATGCTGTAGTAAGTTTTGAATTCTACTTTGTGTTCTTTGATTTTATTTGGAATTATGTGGCCACATGTTCCTTCCACTCTTTGCATTACTATCTTTGTTCCAAATTTCTATATAATTTCTGATTTTCATTAATGAATTTTAGTTGGAGCTGCGACATCATAGTATTGGAGAGGAACCAATAAAAAGAATGGCCGAATTTGTATCTGTCATTGCTACCCATTTCTTAACTGGACAGAAACAGAAAATTGAGATTAAAGATGCCAGTTTCATTATTCCAAAAGTTACAGCAAATGACACAGATTCTTGCTACCAAGCTCACATGACTACATTTACACAGAATCCGTTTGGTTACAATGAAAGATATTCTTCAAAGGTAGATAACTCTTGTTTTTTTTTCTATTTTCTTAAAGAAATATGAAAACATGATTTTTTCTCAATCAATTTCTATTTTCAATCATACAAATTTTTATATTTGTTGGAATTTTTCATCACCTTTAAAGAAATTTTATTGCCCTAAGATTTCATTTTTTTACGATGGAGCCAATCTGTTGTTGAGTTTTTGTTACGGGTACATATTATGGTCAGTGTAATAGTTTGCTGGTAAATAAGGGGAGCTGTGGTGGCTCAGTGAGTTAGACACTTGCTGACATGAGAAAAGCAAAGGCTAACTCCCTTGTCTTAGCAAAATTTTTCTAAATGGACACAACATAGGGTGGTGAGTCCATATTAACACTAACAGGTGTAAAAAAGTAGGATGTAAAACTCCTCTTTGTTTCATTTCAGATACAATCACAGGTTGTTTCATTAGATATTTATAGTTGTCAGGGCAGGCAACCAGTTATACAAAATTTAGATGACGACAATCTGGTTGAAATCTGGATTCCAAGAAATAAAAAAGAGGTGAGCTGAAGATTTGAATATGGCTGTATAATACCATCTCTTCTGTCAGTCAGTTGGCCTCAAATATCCTGTCAGGTAGAGAAAGAGGCAACCGGTTTTTATCAGAATTTTATCAACTTTGATGTTTACATTTATATCAACAAGATCTTGGACAACTGTGAATATGGGTATAATGAGATAAATACTTTTGGTGTTAAAGTAATTCATATACTGAAAACATGTTAAAAATAGACATTTCTGGATGGTTAACCATTTTTTGTCAAATTCAGCATGAGGCATTTTCCTTGGTGTAGTTACAACCTTGAAGAAAGTATATTTTTTTCACTGTAGCCTGATAGTTCTAGTCAACATCTATTGAAAAGAAGTGTAATGAATGTACACCAGTTTAACATTACTAAGGAAAATCTAGACCTATCTTTGTTCATAACACTGGAATTAAATCTAATACAAAATGGCCGACCGTTCCCGCTTGCTGTTCTTATTGGGTAAGTCATAATTATTTATTTTTTTGTGTTGAAGCTGTGGTTATTGTTAGATGTAATGTGGGGATTTTGTACTTGTTTATTGGCTTATTTTTTTTTTAGTTGTTATTCGGATTTTTTGATTTTTTAGTTGTTATTTTTGATTTTTTTTAGTTGTAAGTAATTTTTTTTTTTTTAGTTTTTATACGCCCACATGGCACAATTCTTGACTGATTTGGATGAAACTTGGTATGGTTGTTTGTAATCACCCAAGGATGAACCCTATTGAAAATCAGACGAATCGAAAAATATTTACTATGAGTTATTGCCCTTGTTGTTGAAAACGCGTTCAAATTTTAGCTTGTAAACACTCTAGAAGGCACAATTCTTTTGACGAAACTTGGTATGAGTGTTGGTAATCACCCAAGGATAAACCCTATCGAAAATCAGAAAAATTGAAAAATATTTACTATTAGTTATTGCCCTTGTTCTTGAAAACGCGTTCAAATTTTAGCTTGTAAACTCTAGAAGGGACAATTCTTGACGAATTTTAACGAAATGTGGCTTGAGTGTTGGTTATCACCCAAGGATGAACCCTATTGAAAATCAGAAGAATCTAAAAATATTGAGTATAAGTTATTGCCCTTATTCTTGAAAAATCGTTCAATTTGTAGCTCATAAAAACTCTAGAAGGCATGATTCTTTCTGGATTTTGACAAAACTTGGTTTTATTATTCATTATTGCGCTGAAAATTGAATATTTGTCTTCTAGAGTTTTCACAAGCTAAAGATTGAACATGTTTTCAAGAACAAGGGAAATAACTCATACTCAATATTATTCAGTATTGCCCTAAAGAGTTCAAAAGAAGTGTATGACTGAAGGTTGAATATTTCATACTGGTGATTGTTACTGTAACTGCTAGATATCTATGATCAAAATCAAAGCTGCCAGTGAGCGTATATTACCTTGCCTGGCAAGCTATCTTTTTAAGTTGTAAGTAATTTTTGAGTTTTTTTTAGTTGTAAGTAATTTTTTAATTTTTTTTTTTAGTTTTTTAAGTTGCAAGTATTTTTTGAGTTTTTTTTTTAGTTTTTTTAAGTTGTAAGTATTTTTTGAGTTTTTTTTTTAGTTTTTTTAAGTTGTAAGTATTTTTTGAGTTTTTTTTTAGTTTTTTAAGTTGCAAGTATTTTTTGAGTTTTTTTAAGTTGTAAGTATTTTTTGAGTTTTTTTTTTAGTTTTTTTAAGTTGTAAGTATTTTTTGAGTTTTTTTTTTAGTTTTTTAAGTTGCAAGTATTTTTTGAGTTTTTTTAAGTTGTAAGTATTTTTTGAGTTTTTTTTTTAGTTTTTTAAGTTGTAAGTATTTTTTGAGTTTTTTTTTTAGTTTTTTTAAGTTGTAAGTATTTTTTTAGTTTTTTTTTTAGTTTTTTAAGTTGCAAGTATTTTTTGAGTTTTTTTAAGTTGTAAGTATTTTTTTAGTTTTTTTTTTAGTTTTTTAAGTTGCAAGTATTTTTTGAGTTTTTTTAAGTTGTAAGTATTTTTTGAGTTTTTTTTAGTTGTAAGTATTTTTTGAGTTTTTTTTTTGAGTTTTTTTTAGTTGTAAGTATTTTTTGAGTTTTTTTTAGTTGTAAGTATTTTTCGAGTTTTTTTTAGTTGTAAGTAATTTTTGAATTTATTTTTTTTACCGGTAATTGTAAGTTTTTTTTAGGGTGTTATTTTCCTGTTGTTTTTAAATTTGTTTGAGAAGAAGACAGAGTTTTGATTTGATTTTGGAGTAAATTTGTCTACACATGTAGATCTCAGCTGTTTTGGAGTTTATAAACACCTAGCAGGCAACAATCTAGCTCACTACCGACTGAGCTATTTCACTGTCCTAGCAGACAACAATCTAACTTACTACCAACTGAGCTATTCCACTGTTACATTGATCCAGTTTGATTAATAACTTGAGGTTTGTCTGAGGTGCCTGAAATTTTAGCTCAAACCTAATAATAGAAGGTGAGCAAAGTTTCAGGTGTATCAGCTGAACTTATATATCTTCTTTACTCTGATTTATGTAGCCAGGGTGTGTGATGGCAATGAATTGCTTCTGTTGTATTTCGAGAAGGGAGAGTTGTTTTTCCTCATATATACAGACCTGGGATGAAATGAATACTTCATTTAGAAATTTGAAGAAAAGCTCTTTGGTAGTCCTGATTGGCTGGGTAGTATTCTTCCGTTAATCTTCGTTATATTTCATCATTTCTGGAATAAGATGAATTAATAACTCAGTCACAAGATTTCTTAAACTTAAAGATACAGTTTTTATATTCTTGTTCTGGACAGATAAATGATGTTCTGCATGGGAAGATGCCAATAAAAGGAGATTTGTTTGGCTAATATATCAGCTACAGTTATTATCATTTTATTTAAGTTTTGTATATTGAAAGATTAAAGAAAGGTCCTGATATATATCTGTATATTATATAAGAAGGTAAAGACATCAGAGAAAGTCAGTGTTAAATGGACTTTAAAGGTGTCTGATTTTTTATATGCCCACATGAAATGTGAAACATATATTGATGTAGCTTATGTCTGTCCATCCACAATTGCCGGTAAACACTCTAGAAGGGACAATTCTTGACTGATTTTGACGAAACTTGGTGTGAGTGTTTGTTATCACCCAAGGATAAACCCTATTGAAAAAAAACAACCAAAGTAATTCCAGTATTCCATAATCTTGTCCAAAGCATGACATCATCAGGAAGTAATTATTGTAGAGTTGTGGACTCCTCAAGTACCATCAGGTGTTTTGAATAGAGTAAGCCTGGTCTAATCTATATGGGTAAAAATCATGATATACATTCAACAAGATCAATTCATGAGTTCAGTTTTTACTTGTAAAAACTCTAGAAGGCACAATGTTTGACAAATTTTGACAAAACTTGGCGTGAATGTTCATAATCACCCAAGGATGAACCCTATTTAAAATAAAAAAAAATTCAAAAATTTTCTGGAATAATGAAGAAAAGCGATTAATGGCTGCAGGTATAGAAAATAAATTGTTTTAGACTATTATATACTATAAAGTACAATGACAATGAAAATGAAAATATTTAATTCTGTTAGATCACTCTACATCATCGGTGGGGTCAAGTCGACCACGAACAACTATATCCTGTAGATTTTTATTTTTCGAATAAGCTATGACTAATTTTTTGTAAAAAATAGTGGGAAATTTATTTTGTAACTCTGTGTAGTATCTTTTGATAATTCGGGATGCTTGGCAAGAAATGTTATTGAATGGAGCAACAAATGGGATTATTTGAGAATCAAACTGTATATTTAGTCCACAGGGTGAAATAGTTTTTAGTTGATTCATCCAAAAGCTCTCCCTGTATAGTCTTGAACTTTTAGGGTTGGTGTCTTCTTCTGCGATGACCTTTTCAATGGGCGCCACCTTCATATCTGCGAGGGAATGGTTGAGAGAGTTGAAATGGTTCCCAATAGGTTTATCCAGATGATGGGAGATGTCGAAACGATGGCCGTTAATTCTTTCTCTCAAAGAGTTTTTAGTTTCGCCTACGTATTGTAAATGACATTTGTCGCATGAAATTAGGTAAATGATATTTGTGCTGGTACAAGAAAGCTCATCGATAATAGGGAAATGTTTACCGTTATGCTTATTAGAGAAAGAATTGGTTGTTGAAATATGCTAGCAGGTTCTACATCTTGTAGATCTGCACGGCCATGATCCGAAAGATTGATTAGAGTTTACCGGAACGAGGATTGTGTTCCGATTCTCAATTCTTGAAAGAGTTTTGCTTTTAATGCTGCGGAGATATCATTTTGAATATCCCCGCTCTCGCAATTTCTTAAAGACTAATTAACACGCATCATCAAAATCCTCTATTCTGGTGCAAATTCTACGAAACCGTAAAAAAACGATTTTATTATGCCTGAAAATGTATGTTTAGGATGAAAAGAGCTTTTCAATAAAAGTTGGTGGGTATCAGTGGGTTTGAAAAATACTTTAATATCAGCCTTCCTAGTTTCATTAAAATCCGGTCCTTTGAATACTGTTGTGTTGAGAAAGTCCATGCTGTGATCACTTATATATCACTGTTAATTTGATTGATGGGTGATGGTTATTTAGAATTTCGAAGTATTGCCAGAATTCCTGAATAGTATGTTGCCAAATTAAAAATATGTCATCCAAAAAACGTCCGTAGAAAAGTGGTTTGAAAGGAGAGATCAAATCAATTTCGCGTTCCCATTCAGCCATGAATATATTGGCATAGCTTGGGGCAAATCTCTTACCCATTGCTGTTCCTGAAGTATGAAGATAAGCCTTACCGTTAAAATAAAAATCATTCCGTTTTAAACAAATTTCGAGTAATTTAAGAATTTCAGAATCGGGCCCTTTTGGGTCAGGAGTTCTCTCAAAGCAATTTTTTACAGCGTTCAAACCGGCTTCGAAGTCAATATTGGTATACATGCTACTAACGCCCATTGATATGAAGAAGGTATTTTCCGGGATTTCTAAACTCTTTATTTTTTCAACAAAATCGGATGTGTCTTTTAGATATGATGGATGTTGGCACGCTAAGGGTAACAAAAAATGGTCAATGTATTCTGAGACTCGATAAGATTCGCTGGAGCAGTCTGAAATGATTGGTCGACCCTTAAGTATAGTGTTCGGTAAAAACCATTCTGTTTCCGGGTTCTTATGGATCTTCGGGAGATAGTTGTATTGTTTATCTGAAATAATTTTGTCATTCAATAATTTTTTTAAAATGTCATTAATCACACTGCTGGTTTCTTTAAAAATCGGAGCATCTAAAATTTGGTAATGTTCGCGTATGTTTAATTGATTTTCAACTTCTTTAATGTAATCTTCACGGTTTAAGATGACACACAAGCTTCCTTTATCACTTTTCCGTATGATAATATTTTTATCGTTCTTTAGGTTGTTTAAAATGGTCCTTTCAGCGCGCGTCAAGTTGCTATTTTCTTTTACCAATGGTAAGAGAGAAGTTTGAAATCGCATGTTATCGCAAATTTCTAAAATATCAATATGTATTAGGGCATCTGGTGGAGTCCACTCTGATTTTTCCACAAACTTCTTCCGGGTTCCTCTACCAAGGGTTTTTCTGTAAAAATAGGCCAGTTTTATTAATCGTTCGAATTTGCAAGTGGCATCTAAAATTTTGTCAATGGATGAAGGCACTGCCGTGGGTATAAATTTAAGGGTTTTGTCCAATAGACTTTTTTCCATTACAGATAATGATTTTGAGCTCAGATTCACTACTGTTTTATCCAGTTTCGGTCCACCCCCCGCATCTAGTTTAAATGGGCCATCCAGTGAGAAAATACATTCTTGGCTGTCATCTCTGTCCAATGAATATTATCGTTTTGAACTTTAATGGATCCGGAGTATTCTGGAATGGTAGTGGTATTGGTTGGTGGTTTAGCTGTGATAAGTTCATTGAATTTTGATAGGTTCTTGAAGGCTCCAGGACATGCTCGTTTTAAAGATAAAGAAACTGGTATCGGTGTGACATACAGGGAGGCTTTTGGAAACTTGTTTCGGACAATTGACAGCAGTTCCAACATTTGGATGTGGATGAAATTACCATCTTCTTGTTTATCATTTAGACCTACATGTACTATTACTTTATTTAGTACTTGACTGGCTTCTGCTTTAGTGATGATAGACTTCAAATGACAGATTCATGCGCCTGAAAAGCTCTCTATTTGGGTTTCTGAGGTGCCTTCTGGGATACGGCCTAAATTTGACGATCCAATGATGAGAATAGGTTTGGATGGTTTTGGTAGATTGAATTTGGATTTATCACTCTGTCGGGTATGAACGCGTGGTTTAGTAAAGGGTCTAGATGATGCTGGCTGGTTGGTGACAGAAGAAGTTGATGATGAAGAAGATGGGGTGAGTGTCTTATCAAAAGTAAGAGACCTGCGAGGTGATGCTGAAGAAGATGATGAAGACGATGCTGCAGAAGAAGACGGTGCAATCGTAAGAGACCTACGAGGTGATGATGAAGAAGGTGCTGAAGAAGACGGTGCAATCGTGAGAGATCTGTGAGGTGATGATGAAGTAGATAGTGTATTTATGTTCATTATATTTGAAGTGGAAAGCAAACTAGTAGGTTGGTCTGTAGGTGAATTCGGTAGAGAAGATCTTCGGCTTGAGATATGTTTTCGTTTTGAAGGAGTTTCAAAAGAGGATGGAAAACTTGTTCGGGAATATGATCTGTTCCGTTTTGGTTTCCCAGTGGATTGTGGCATGAAACTAAATCTGTTTTTGGTAGTTGGAGGAAGAGATACTTCTACCAACTCTACATTGCCTACATCCATATCCTCAAGTACTTCTGAAGCCGTATTTTTAATATCTGCCAAAAGTGATTTGAACTGTTTGACTACAGTTTGTTGTAAACGAGATTTATAAACTTTCCTAGCCCAATTTAAAGCAGATGAAAAAGACTCAATTTGTATGTTTGTTTGAGTGTGATTTGATCAAGTCTACTTTAGTTTTTACCAGGAATTATAATGATTTTTAAGAGCCGAAAGAATACTTGTTGCCCAAGTTTGATTAATTTTTTCAATCGCCAAAGAGATGATGGGATTTTTTAGAGCAGGTTGAATGAACTCATTCAGATGAGAGACCTTTTTCGAAAGGCCAAGACTTAAAGAACCATCCAATTGTTTTGATACCGCATTGATATGGTGAAGGCATTGCAGAAGTTGGTAGAACATTCTGATCGAAGCGGCAGATGTTTCTGATAGTCCAGATTGTTGATTGTTGGTTTTTATTGTGGTTCTGTTGGTGGTTTCTAAGGATATTTTGGCCCTGTCTGTTTCTGTGCTGATTAAAATGTGATCTATTGTTCTGTCCATTGCTCTGTCCATGATGCGGTCGTCTTTCCATCCTGTGATATTGGCCTCTGTTGTTAGGGTAGTAGGGTTTTTGACGAGGGATCTGCTCTTGCCAAGCATAGGGGTTATTATAGGGACGTGGGTTGTACGAACGTGGATTATGCAGACGAGAGTGGTAAAAATTTTCCTGCCAATGGTCGGGGTGAGAATAAAAGTTGCCATAGTTGCTCATGATAATTGGTAACAAGAATAATAACAATATGTATGTTAATGATTTGGAAGGAAGGGGTAAATTGTGGCGTAACAAAGCAAGGTACACAAATAATATTTATTTGTGTGTAACAAAAATATGAAAAAACAAAAAACTTACAACAAATAGAATAACAAAAAATGAAAAAACTCCTCAAAAACGCAATTGCAATTTCGGTCATGAACTGACCTTCATCAGGTGTAATCTTGCCAAATTTTAGAGAAAGTCTCCAACTTATTCTACAGGTTTCAATTCAAAATACTGGGGGGTAAATGCCCACAACCAAAACTAGTTTAAACTGTTCAAACAATTAACATGCTTGTTTTGAACAAAGTCCGGTTGATCAAGAAGATGCATAGAAATTAATATTTAAGTATGATTTACTACGATAGAACATAAGTTTTATCAGTATTTTCAGAAGTGTGTTTCTTTTGCCTTCAGTTTTAATTTTGCCTTTTTAAGTAAATGTCAAGCTATTTATGGAATGAAAACAATATAATCTTTTACTTGTAGACAACACAGTGTTCCCACACCTGATATATTTTATTATAAAGAAGAATTTGATCTGGCTGCAGATACAATCAAAGTATTTTTACCCACTGGTTCTTTCAATGGTGAGTTAAAGGTTAAATTCTATCATAACAAACTCAAATACTAATGATCAGCATTGCAACAAAAATAATATGAAATCAAAATATCATAATTAGCAATTTTAGGTAGAAATAAAAATGATAAGATAAATAACTATTTTTATGAGGATCAATGGAAACCATGAGCACTAATATTTCCAACTGCAAAAATAAAACTGAAATGCAAAATTGGAAATTTGATGGTGGCTGAATATGTTGACCAATTGCTAACGATTAATGGTTAACTTTTTTCATTTGGACCTGAGTAATATTTGTAGTGACTGACTAATTATTCCTCAGCAATGTAATGTGTATAATTGTTGTCATGTGTGTATTTTTTTAGAATGTTCTGCTTTTATGTACCCTTAGATGCTTAATCAGCCTCTGTAAAATGCTTACTGGCTTGGTAACATATTACAAGATGAGCGTGATCTTCATATTGGGATACTTTTAGCTCCTTTATTTTATCACAATCTCTTAAAGGGATGTTAAACATATTTTCTACACTTATAGGAACACTTATAGCATTGATTTGCACCATTCCAATTTTCACCACGTCTACTGTGGTTCTTGCAATTCCATAAAAACTAAGCATTTTTATGACATCACTTTTGCAAAGGCTGCAAATTATAATGTTATAGAATGCTTAGTGTTAGTGGAATTGCAAGAACCACAGACAATTGACTGAAAATTGGAATGGTACAAATCTATGCTATCAGTGTCTCTGATACACATAAAAAGTGGGAAATAACAATGAAATATCGGAGTCAAGAGTATCCATTGATAAAACGCATGCCTCTTTAACTGGGCAACTTCAGTGGAGAAGACCCAGGGGTTCCAGTGAGAGAGCAGAACAATTTCATAGACTGTATGTAGGTCTATAGGATAAAATGTTATTTAAAACTCACATCATGAAGGGATGTGTTTTATTATTCTTATCTTTAAAGTACCCCCTAACTTAATTAAAACTCATGTTTTCTCTCAGAGTCTCTGTTTTTTTCTATATAAATTACAGACATGACAAGAGATTATAAATTTAAAATCTAGTTAATACAATACTCTATTTGACACCTTTTAAGGCCTTTCTACACAATCATACATTTGTTCAAAACATCATAATACATTTGTTTGGCCATGTCCAAGCCTATTGTGGATTTCTTTTAGAAATATTTTAGGTATGGAAGTATCTTCCTTCATGGTTTATTACCAAATATGGTCGGGGCTGTAACTAGGGCCTTTTTTTCTATGAGGCAACAATTCTGTTATCTTTCATATTGATACTTTATAGGTGTCAAATAAGTATCATAAGTATCATAATATTTTTAATCTGTTACGTAAACTTTATTTTTATATGTTATTTTTACTTTTCATCAAAATCGGTTTGAGACTTTTGCCTCATTGTCCTTGATGAAGTTAAGGCCCTGGTGGTATCATTAATTACATAGATACAGTAATAAGATGTATTGCATTCACTGACCACATTTATACGTGTCGGCTATTCTGAAAGCAAAGTCACATAGGGAGGCAGTCACATGATGTGTATACGACCGCTGATTTGTTAAAGACTGATAACTGATTTAAATATTGCCAACGTTTGTTCTATACCAATTGATATATAAAATATCTTGATTAAATTTTTTTTGTTGAAGACAAAAAGGTGGAAATTCTGCTATTAAGGGTCAACCTATTTTATACCCCTGATATTATTTTTCTTTTAATGGGGCATTACGTTCTTATTGTAGGTGGAATTGTTTTAAACTCTGCACCAAAATTTAGAGAAATGTGTTTCTTAAGTTTTCTGGGAAGCGTGGGACGTGTAGTGAGCGAAGCAATAGGGACCCTGGTGTGGTCCAGGGGGCGAGCCAGAGGGTTTTTGCACATTTTACTCTATAGGAGGCACCATTTCACTTAACCTATATTTCCTTAGAGGTCTTCTGTCACCCTATCCACTTCCATTTATTTACCAAAAATAATAGTCTATAGCATCAGATCTCAACATTCACACTTTCAAAAGTCACGAAATTTCACTATAGTAATAAGTCAGGTTAACCATGCGTACCCACAGAGTGAGCTCTTCCACACATGTGTCTCTGTTTAGAGACAGATTAGCCATTATCATCGGTTGATTGGATCTTGAATATATGTAAATAGTCTTCAGAAGTACTAGAAATGTACGAAAATCGTAAAATTCATTCAAGAATGCCTCAAACTAGGAATTTCACTTTCTTTTTCTACAGATGTCTTTTCTAAATATCACAGTCTCAAGAAAAGATGAGTCGTCTTTTTAACTTTCAAACACTGATAATTCTGGAGATACATGGATTTGAATACTCAAATTTCAACGGTGCACTGTGAACACTATTATTGCGTTTCTGAAACCAAGGTACAATGTGTCCCTTGAACAAGTTCATTATTTTTTTGGTAGGTGTAAGAAAACTACTGTACGGATTTAAGTTAAATAAACACCTAATTATAGAGAAATATTTTTACTACGTATTCTACAGGTTTCAACTAATAATATCATTATAAAGCCAACACCAAAACTAGGTCAAACTGCTTAATTAACAATTAATACTCTCAGTTTTTAATAAACCCTTTTAAAACAAATTCAGTTTAATCAAGAAGATACATAGATATAAATAGCATACTTTAGAAACATTTTCAGGTATAATTTCTATGTTCTCAATAATGAAAATTTTGCAAACTGCACCTTTATCACTTAGCTAATTTCTCAGAATCAATTGATTTTTTGGCATGAGGGTTTGAAATTCTGTTTTTTGAGGCAGTGTGATGTTTGTTATTCATTATTGGTTATTTGCAAATAAGAACGCCTCCTGAAAATCAGACAGTTATTATAGATACCAGGATCGCTTAACCGTAATTTGTAAAAAAGGAATAACAAAAAAGCATACTAAATGATACTAAAAATAACAACTTAAATTAACTCTGCTGAAATTTAAAGGGATTGTAAAGGGGTTTTATAAACTTTTTATGTGTAATAAGGACACTGATGGCATCGATTTGGACTCCTCCAACTTTCTGTGGGTCTTGCAATGCGTGAAAGCTGTTTATAAAGTAACAGTGCAATAGTAATATATAGGTAAGCTTGTCTATAATTACAGAAATCACAGACATCTGACTAAAAATGATGCAATAAGAAGCCATAAATAGCACCTATAGACCTTATTCACGCCTCATTTTTAGATACTGAAAGCTGATCAACAGAATCATTTCTAAGAAATATGTGGAGGTAAAATCCATTTAAGTAGGACTGGAGAAGGAACTTTAAATTCGTCAAGATTTTATGCAGTGACCTATCTTTATCTTCATTTGTTTGCATTCTGAACCTCGTTTTGGATTCAAAATGGCTGACATGTGAATAAGGTCCATACACATGAAAAAAGCTAGAAAACAATTCAATGCTATAAGTGTCTTGATGCATAAAAAGTTCAGAAAAAATTCCTTTTAGTTTCTAATGTCATGAAGGTGTATTGCTTGACATTTTTTAAACGCCCACCTATTTCCCTTGTTCTTGAAAACGCGTTCAATTTTTAGTTCGTAAACACTCTAGAAGGCTCAATTCTTAACGGATTTTGACGAAACTTGGCATGAGTGTTGGTTATCACCCATGGATAAACCGTATTGAAAAACAGAAAAATTGAAAAATATTTAGTATGAGTTATTGCCCTTGTTCTTGAAAACGCGTTCAAATTTTAACTTGTTAACACTCTAGAAGGGACAATTCTTGAAGGATTTTAACCAAATTTGGCTTGAGTGTTGGTAATCACCCAAGAATGAACACTATTGAAAATCAGAAGAATCCAAAAATATTGAGTATGAGTTATTGCCCTTATTCTTAAAAACGTGTTCAATTTTTAGTTTGTAAACACTCTAGACGGCACAATTCTTTATGGATTTTAATGAAATTTGGCTTGAGTGTTGGTTATCACCCATGGATAAAGCCTATTGAAAAATGAGAAATATCGAAAAAAAAAATTTAGTATGAGTTATTGCCCTTGATCTTGAAAACTCGTTCAATTTGTAGCTCATAAAAACTCTAGAAGGCATGATTCTAGCCGAATTTTGACAAAACTTGGTTTTACTATTCATTACCGTGCTGAAGATTGAACACGTTTTCAAGAACTAGGGCAATAACTCATACTCAATATTATTCAGTATCGCCCTAAAGAGTTCAAAAGAAGTGTATGACTGAAGGTTGAATATTTCATACTGGTGATTGTTACTGTACTGCTAAATATTTATGTTCAAAATCAAAGCTGTCAGTGGGCGTATATTACCATGCCTGGCAAGCTATCTTTGGAAATTTGAAGAGCAATCATTAGATCTGTAAATGTATCTATTTGCAGCCACTGGAATGTATTATATTGGAATTGTTGATGGCACTTATAATTCTGGTAAAAGACGTCCAGGAGAACTTTTAGAAAGACGGTATATATTTACAATATGGTGGGGACAATGTTTCTATTGGAATCATAAACAATGGAGTTCTCAAGGCTGTACTATCACTAGACATTCAGATATTGACAACAGTCACTGTAGGTAGGTGAATCTAGTCTATAAATATCCATCTTTTCGTATGAAAGAAAACATGGATAGTAAAGTTGATATATTATATTGATTCTCCTTAAAAACAATTAGAAGAATTTGAAATTGAACCTGAATGTAGAATAATATCTATCCTCGACTATACACATTTGTTTTTTTTTTATAAATAAGGTGGTACTTAGGCACCCATTAAAATTACATTACAATTTCGTTCTTTTTTCTGTCACAGACTTTTATTTTATCTTGTTTGATATGACTCAGGATTGGTGTGATGATCTAACACCTCATCACTTTCCTCTACAACATGGGATCTCTTGGTGTGATGATCTAACACCTCATCACTCTCCTCTACAACATTGGATCTCTTGGTGTGATGATCTAACACCTCATCACTCTCCTCTACAACATTGGAACTCTTGGTGTGATGATCTAACACCTCATCACTCTCCTCTACAACATTGGATCTCTTGGTGTGATGATCTAACACCTCATCACTCTCCTCTACAACATTGGAACTCTTGGTGTGATGATCTAACACCTCATCACTCTCCTCTACAACATTGGATCTCTTGGTGTGATGATCTAACCTCTCATCACTCCCCTCTACAACATTGGATCTCTTGGTGTGATGATCTAACACCTCATCACTCTCCTCTACAACATTGGATCTCTTGGTGTGATGATCTAACCTCTCATCACTCTCCTCTACAACATTGGAACTCTTGGTGTGATGATCTAACACCTCATCACTCTCCTCTACAACATTGGAACTCTTGGTGTGATGATCTAACACCTCATCACTCTCCTCTACAACATTGGATTTCTTGGTGTGATGATCTAATCCCTCATCACTTTCCTCTACAACATTGGAACTCTTGGTGTGAAGATCTAACACATCATCACTCCCCTCTTCAACATTGGAACTCTTGGTGTGATGATCTAACACCTCATCACTCTCCTCTACAACATTGGACCTCTTGGTGTGATGATCTAATCCCTCATCACTTTCCTCTACAACATTGGAACTCTTGGTGTGATGATCTAATCCCTCATCACTCTCCTCTACAATATTGGAACTCTTGGTGTGATGATCTAACACCTCATCACTCCCCTCTACAACACTGGAACTCTTGGTG